ATGTTTATTCAGAGAAAGTACGTTTTTGTGTCTGATTTCGTAACTTAATTAATAGTTAGCACTAATTAATTAACATATTTGAGGTCACCCCCAGGAACCATTAAGATTGACACTTAGTTCGTGAAAATCCGATCATTAGAACGAAAGTTATTCAGGGTGATTCGTTTTTTTTTTTGCGGACTGTACATTTGTATTCTTTATTTATTTCATCTTTCTATTAATTTGCACCTTTTGCCTTGCCATTAGAAATAAAAAAAAATATTTTTAAATGTAAAAAACACTAATTATTACATGCTGTATTTTAAAACTTTAAATTATTAAAATGTTAAATATAATAATTTTTACTTATTTTGATAAAATTATGAAAAATATTTTTAATAAAAATTCTACATCAAAGGGTTCAAAGCATATGCAAGCAGCTAATTTTTTATTAGCTTTTAATACTGTTCATTCGAAACTCACGCTACATGTTACTCAAATCCAGCAATTAAAAAAAAATGAAAGGTGCAATTTATATATCAGGCATTCTGTAGAGCATGCAGGTATAAAACAAAAGGTGTTACTCAGCAAGATAAGTTATAAAAATAAAATCTTTAAAGACAAGACTTTGTTCCAGCTTGCAGAATCAATCATCATAACTCATTAAGGTAATGGTAAGGCTTGTAATTTACTTTAGTAGAAAGCTGGAAAGAAACAAAGAATGATTTTAACGATTTTACAATATCTTATTTGTAATTGATTTTTTTATTTCTGGATTTAAAACTTGAAAATAGAACTTATCTATAGCCAGTTTTGCTGTGTTCCAGACTTCTTTATTTTGTTTCATCCTGTAAACTGCAAAATCAACTGCAAATCAAGTCCATATAACCATATCACAGTAGTCTACTTCTGATACTGCTAATTGCCCCTGAATTTGGAAATACTAACTGTGGTTGGTCCTGATTTCGCCATCAGTATCTAGGATAAAAGGAGAATCTTTAATATCAAATGCCAAAATATTTTTATGCTTGAAAGGGCACTTAATTTCAACAATCCCTTTTCCTTCTGAGATTGTACGTGGGCATCAGGTGAAACTCCTAAATGTGGAAACTTGCTGTTAATGCAGAGACCACTCTTGCTATGCTGGAACTTAGTGTGGACACTTTTTGCCTTCTGCACGTACATTCTCATTGCAACTTCTTCATTTTTGCGCCCCCATTTAATTGCCTGCGTGCGTAATTCAGAACTGAAAATCAAATCGAAAATTTAATCAATTTATTAAAAACAAAAGTAAATGAACTTCAAAACCAGATAAATAATTACCAAGGAAAGATGAACTTTTAAGCATAGGAACTAGTTAAAGTTCTTTTAAACACCTCTCCGAATTTCGAGGCTGTAATGTGGCACTGGCAATGTTTATGCCAATGTTCACAGCTGCTTTGCTCTTTGGTCAGCAACTCAATCTCTTTACAGCGACTCTTCGCAGAAGTAACCTTTCAAATAACTATCTTCATCTGGAATGTTGTGGCTCATAATGTGTCTTATACACTCCACAAGAGTCATTGGGGGCTACTTCATTCTCTTCACCTGAATCTGTGTCCTCCTAGTCCGAAAATGAAGTAAAATAGACAGCATTTGGAGATATCTTCTTCAGATTCTGGATATCACTAATAGTTAGAGGTGCCACTTGAATAGGTGAAGTTATCCCAGAGTTTGAGGAACTTCCCACATCAGACCATTTTTTTTTTTTTTCAAATTGATGCGTGAAATCGGAGCAAAATTTACCTAAAAAAAATTATAACAAAAACTCTATTTTTTAAAAGAACTACTGCATTTAATTTATGAAAAGTTTGTTTCTTCTTGTTTTTGTGTCGTCAATCTTTTTAGGATAAATATTGCATTTAACTCAAACATTACAAGCTAGAGAAATGGATCGAATATACATACTGAATCTGATATACATAAATAATAAAAGGATGAAAAATATCTTAGGACTTATCGAGATTTCGTGAAACCTGTAAACTTTAAAAAATTTGTAGAGATTTCATGCAATAAGAGTATAGGTTTTATAAATAAAAATTTGTTATTAATTTCAAATATGTTATTCAATTTTAATATCAGCTAATCACTTCATACCTTTTTTGAAACCTTGCAATTCCACTGACAAGCAGTTTCTGTAAGAGCTTGTACATTCAATCCAAGGCGAACTGTTAGCTCAATTTTGAATAGTAAGGCAGCAACATGACTGAAAGTTTCTCCTAAACTGAAAGATATGTATGTTTAAATTTTTTTAAGCTAAACATTTTTAAATATCGAACATCAAGATATTCATTCTATAGAAATTTGCTCAACAAAGCAAAAAAAAAAAAAAAAAAAAAAAAAAAAAAAAAAAAAAAAAAAAAAAANTTTAAAAAAAAAAAAAAAAAATTTCATAGTAATAATTTAAAAATGTTAGTTTCGTCCTTTAATTTTTTCCTAAAAAAGAATTGGAAGTTTCAAAAGTTTTCTTGTATTACTTACCACAAAACAAGATTTAATAATAAAGAAGAAAAAAAGAATAGTACAATAATCATGGAGTAATAAGAGCAAAATCATAAAAAGTGAAAGATTTAATTACCCAGCAACACATGTGCAATGGCCACATTGAATTCTGCCATCAGTATGAGCCAAGACCCATGGCTTGTAGTTAGCATCACGAACTCGGAATGAGGGCTGAACTTCTCCAAAGACAATAATATAATCTTTCAAGCCATTAGGCATCAAAAACATGATATTACATACTTTACCTAGAAAAATAATCAGACTTATTTTATTTAAGAACATTGATTTATTAATTGCTATTCAATTGTTACAAAAACTGAAAGATTAATTGGTGCGGTAATGGGATAATGACGCCTTATATTTCAAATGCAGATCAATTTATGATAAATAGATCCTCAAACAGTTTTTATATTCAACTTGCGTTGAGCTATGACATTTCTATTGCACAGCATAGTTATTTAGTAATTTTCAAACACACATTGTAATTTTTAAAAAATACAAAAATAAATCAATACCCTATTGTAGCAATATTGCTACAATAACTACCTTATAAGGCTTCAAATTACTAAAATGAAACAGCCATAGGATTGTCTGTGTACCGTTTTATACTTGTCGGCCAGATAGTAGTTTGCATTAATTTTATTGTGCACAACAATATTCAAAATACTTCGTATACCACAGAAGAATTTTAAAATAGTTAGAAAATGTTAATGGATGATGCACACACCTGCTAACGGATAAAAAATTGAAAAAGAAAAAAAAGTAATTAATAATATGATTTATCTTTTTCTACTCATGCTTATTACATTGCAATGAAGATTATTAAGACAAACCTATCCTTCGACAAAGATAAGTAACATTCAAAATAAAAATTATAAATCTTTCATAATTAAAGCCTGTTATTCTAAGTTTACAAGACCATATCATATTTTGACAAGATCATATTTTGATTTAAAATAAAGCTTAAGTAAAAGCATGTTTGAAACTTTCCTGAAGTAACATATTCATATGCAAACAAAGATTTATAATTCTTCAAACAGTCAGAATTATAGCCTCCTGGGTTTGATGTGAGATAGTTGAAGATATCTGGATATGTAATTTGAGGGCAGTACTTAAAATTCTTATAGCATTTATTTTCGTTGACAGAGTAAGGATCCTGAATAGAAATATTTAAATTATTATTTTGTATTGTTAATTTATCATAATATCTTACCTTTGCCTCAACACTTAAATCCAAAACATATTTGGAACGCGATACAACTTTACTACAATAATCATGGTCTGAAAAAGCCATCTTTACCTGAAATTAGAATTTCTATCCAATTAAAAATGTAACACAAAATAGAAAGCCAGTTACGGGGTATCTGCTACATTTTAGATTTTTAAATTCATGACTAATTCCAAGACTTTTTAATGACTTACCAAAATTACTATTTTCACCGACAAAAGCACAGAAATAAATTTAAAAAAGCATTATAATAACATTAATTGAAATGATAGGTATAACTAAAACTGCTCTCTGCATCTTCATATTTATTTATCTTAAATTTAAAAAAAACAGAGCAAAAAAAAGTTAAAGCAATAAAATAGCTAAAAAAATACAATACAATAAAAAATACGAAATTACTAAAAACAGTTAGAAATATGTAGTTATTTAAAGCTGTTTTATTTCTTCTTTAAAGTATAATATAAGAAGCTTAAACTCTCGATCACAGCTAACTTTTTTTATTTTTTAACTTTTCAATTTTCTCATTTATTTCAATTTCCCCTTTCTCTCTATCCAAACGTATTTTCTTTTTCACATTTTGCAAGTCTTGCAATTCACTTTCTGTTTTTCTTTTTTCTAAAGTAATGGAAGTTCTTTTATCTGATACTCTCTTCTTCTCCGAATCCTGTTGATACCGCTGTCTAGCACACGAACAGCTTGTAAAATTTTCTTGTCTATTTTGACATTTGCAGGTCCTCCAGTAGCCTTAAATCCATCAAAAACTCTTCTCTGGCTCACAAGACTCTCTTCTTGGAGGTTTTCTACCAGCATTGTCTTGTTAATAGAAAAACCTTTCTCCACTGAAGCATTACCATGTGAAAGTATAAAACACATCTTCACAACACTCCAAAGATCTTCCATGCTCTTTTCAGAAGATAGTAATTTATAGTAAAAAGTATCGAGTCCTACCTCAGCTTTATCTGATAAAAAGGAGTTAGTCTTCTTTGTAATTTTCCTTAACAGTAGAGCAAAAAGAACTATACTGTTTTTTCAGCTACAGTTTCAGTGATGCGATTCGCATCATGTAATGCTTCTAAAACAATAATGAACCTAGATAGTCCAACACTTGGATTGTTCAATATCATGGATGGGTGAAGACTGGACAAACCCCGACAATTTCATATTTCAAAGGACTTTTTTCAACTATTTTTGATGCACCTGCCTGCAATATCTTTTGACATTCTATATAAAAAGTTTGACTTATTTTGTCAGAGACTTTAGCCTCTTTTAAAAACTTCTTTGCCCCAAACCCGATGTCAATCTTTTTTGGTTCAATCAGATTATCTTTAAATTTCAAATCAAAATTCAGCAATGCTGATCCTTCAACTATTTTGTCTGCTTTAAGGAACTTTTTCATAATACCTCCCAACAATAGAGACAATTCTGAATGTAAATATGGAATGAGTACTTTTTCAGACTGAAACTTCTTCAAAAAATCTTCACAGTGAAGAGAAAGTGATTTGTAAAAAGCAAGTTTACATTTTAGGACAGGATCAGAAAAATATTTCTGTAACATTGCTTTAACCTTGCTTTCTGTGCACTTTGCTTCTAACAAATATTTGCCGACAGAATCTATTATTTCCAGAGCTCTATCTACACAATCACTATTCTCAAGCCACCTCACAGCACAGAATTTTTTAAGAAACTTAAAACAGCCTTTTATTTGGATGAACTCTGCTCTCCCCATCTTTACTATCTTTACAAGGACTATCTTTAAACAAATAATGCAAGTTCCTTAAAACACCAAATAAGTCGTCCCAGTCAACTGACTTCAGTTCTGTTGTTGTTGCACCATGGATGACGTGTAGGCCACAAGTACCCATCTGAATAAGTTGCTTGCCACATAGATTTTCTTCAAACATATATTCTTGAAGTTTTTTCAAAAATGACAGATTGACATTAGGTCCATCCATTGCAACATGCAATAATTTATGCAATGGAATAGAACCTAATGCTTTTCCTGGAGCTATTTTTTAGAAAAAATAAATCTAAAAATAAAATAAAAACTGTCAATATATAAATTATATTAAAATATTTATAAATATGTTTAATTAAATATAAATTCCTCAATTTTATGAAGCTATATAGCTATTTATATATTCATTAAAATGCATAATTTAGATTAAGATTAAAAATTGAACGAAATAAAAACAGACAATCTGTTTTAAGTATCAATTAACTGCATTAATTTAATTAATAATTAAAGGTTTATGGTAAAATAATTTCTATCCTTGCTTTCAGAATTTTAGCTACATTATAATTTATAACCCTAGTTATGTGATTATGTTGAAATAATAATTTTTCTTCGAAAATTATTATTTAAATAATTAATTGAATATCCATGAAGTACATTCAGAAGAGGTTTGAGAAAAATATATAATAAATATCCTGCTTTAATTTTTTTTCTTGTTTTTAAATAATGTGTTGAGTTATTACTTGTACTGTGCGAAGCACAAAGCTCTGAATTTCTCGAATACGTCGGCGAGAAGGAGTGTATCTGTTTTTACATATAGATTATGGTCGTCTTTTAATGTTTGCATGTTGAAAGTTTGGAATACAGCGCGTGCATGATTGTACTCTGATTCGCTAATCTGCTCATCATTTAAACTATTGAAGAAACTCTCCCGTGGAGGGTAATTAAGTTTCATCAAATTTACTCATGCAATCGAAATATTCATAGGGGTAAACACCCTTACGCTTTAAAAGGGGAAGCTGATCGCTCGGAAATTGTAAAGATAACACGGGAAAATCGTCATCATCTAAATTGGAGACAAATTTATCCAGGGAGGCCGGTAAAAATTGGAATGAATCTAAAAATTGAAGATGACCGGAGGAGAATGTGATAAACTTTTGCGCGTTAGTTGCAATACATAATATTTTTTTTCTTCCAATTTTGCTTAAAGTTTTAATAATATGATGACTGTCATACCCTTTTAAGTTGTGAAAGATAACGAGAATTTTTTTTATCAACTTATAATTTAAATTGCAACTTGGATGCAATGCACCGCGATATTTAGATGCAATATGACAGTGGTCCCTAACTCGTTCCCTACCTAATTGTTCTTTACAGGCAAAACAGTGTGTTTCGTTTAAAAATTCCTGTTTTTCCTCTGCCGACAACCGCATTTGCTTATTGATGGAAAGCAAATCTAGAATCATTTTCCTTTCACACTTAATAAACAATGCATAAAATGTTCTGCAGCGTTTTCCCCGTGATAGACGACTGGTGGCTTAACGCATTTCCCCTCAATGTCTATAATGACGTAAGAATATCCGCAAGGCACATGCCGAGAATTAATTTCTGTGTGCGATCCTAAATTAGAGGTACTTTGTACTAGAATGCACTCGAAGTCAGCGTAGATGACCTAGAGTATTTTATGCGTCATGTGCTCTGATTTGAATTTTAAAATACGATCCTCATCGCTAGGCATTGCTATCTTTTGTATTTTATGCTCTTTACAATAGGTAATATGATCATCGAGTGCACTTCTAGAGTAAAAGCGATGGGGACAAAAGTCACTATAAAAAGTTGCTGACCTATGCGTAGTTAAGTAAAATAGCAATCTACTCATGCTTTTAATTAAACAAAAATGTTGCGTTTCCTCCTTCGATATCAGTAAGAGATTAATATGATGTATACCGGATCGATTTGTAGATAAGTGAAGGGGAAATATGTTACTTTCCTCATCACCGAATTCATTTATTGACAAGTTTTTTAACTTTTCAAATATAGATATTTGGTTTAATTTCATGGGGAACGTTATGCCTGTTTAATTTAGCTCGTGCTCGAACTCTCTATTTGCTAACGCGATTCGTATTCTTGGTATCATTACACGGGTGGAGGCTTGCTAAACTTGCCCAGAGGAAACATTTAGTCAGAATTTTTTATGTTTAAAACCGCTCTCTTCTTCGCTATTTCAGGGGGAAGAGGAATATAAGATGAACCGCTTAACGGTACATATTTTGAAGTATTTAATTCTAAATAGTTCACCTCCTCCAAAACCAACCTCGATGAATTCATCGAATGATGAAATAATCTTCGCGAAGGCACAATTAATTTGCTCTTCCAAACTATTACAATTTAGAGATATAACATTGCAACTGCGGAAAAAGGAGGTAGCTAATTCACGCTCCTCATTATGTCCTTTCCTTAAAAACAGCGCCTTAAGGCATAAGTGCCATTTAATGGATGATGAGAGAATATCTAATTGAAGAGTTTCTTCAAGCTTTAATTCTACGTCTTTTAAGAAAAGAAGTAAATCATGATTCTTACTACTGTGGACTAGACGGTTTCGAACAATTCCTTCAAAGGCCGATCTATCACACTGCTCTCCCACAGGGTCGATCCGGGCTGCCTTACTCCTGTTCGGGGGATCCCCAGCTGGGTCACTCCAAATTCTCTTAGAAGTCTGTAAAAGGGGGGGGAAAAGAAAATTTAAAATAAGTTAAACTATCCATGAAACAATTATTATGTCAACACAAAAGAAGGAGTTACAATACATACCTGCCAACTTTTACGCATTTGGCGTAAAATTTTATTTTTATATTTAAAGTGGTTTTAAATATATACTATTTTTCTTTTATAAATTAAATTTTTGAATGATTTTCATCACCACTATTCTTAAAAAAATTAAGCATATATATTAATATGCGTTACTATCATGGTAGGCAGCATTAGCTTTTTCAAATACAACGTATTTTTTTTGCTTAAAATTGAAATTTTATTCCATTTTAATACCACTGGAAAAAATAATAATGGAAGGGATTAAAAGTTGGCAGGTATGCAATAAGTATTTTTTTTTCATTCCTTAAATTTATTTCATGCATTCTAAAACGCATTATCGTGTTTACATGTACTCATTTATTTAACTTAATTTAGTTTTATTTCCCTAATATATTCTGAATGGATTCCTTTATAGTTTTTCATTCAATAGGTAGACGGATAACATACTTTAATAATGTATAATTTATTTTATAAGAGGAGAAAAAAAATCTAAACAATAAACTTACGTACGCTTGGAGTGTGTTGGCCCACTATATCTACATCAGAGGGCATATTTGCTATGATTTCGACTGCTATGAGGTCGTCCATCATTTCCTGACTACTATCCTCATCGCTGCTTGACAACAATCTTATTCTTTTTCTCCCATATCCTCTTATAGGCGAATAATCACAGGTAGAGGATCTCCTTTTTCTCCCTGTAGATTCTGATGTGGGGCAGGGATACTCTTGACTTCAGTTCCTGAAATGGGGAAGAGATATAAATAAATAAAGGAGGTACTATATATATATATAGAGAGAGAGAGAGAAAATTATTTATATAAATAGGAATATATGCTATTACGATGAATTAGAATAATCTGAGTGGTTGAGGGTCCGACGCTACATTACTTATTAACATCTCCCCATTCAGTTTTGAAAAAAAGTCTGAATTTATGTAGTTTAAAATGTGGGTGTTTATGCTCACAAAGTATTGACTCAACTGATTTAAATCAATGCTTAAAATGGCTATATCTTCAGAGCTTAAAAGTTTATGCTCGTTATTGAATGTCATGCATTCGTGTCCAAGTTGATTCGCGTAATATTCAGCACATCCAAAGCACTGGAATACGGTGTTCACATTCGCCTCGATGTGCGCTATAAATAACTCCAACAGTGAGGTAGTGAGCGCATCCACAACATCTGAGAGTTCCAAGGAAGTTGGTGTTTTTTCACTTCATTCAGCACAGCGCTGGGAAACACATTTGTATATAGAAGTAAGAGGGTAGAGGATACGATCTTTTTTTGTAGATCGAGGTCACTCGAGAGTTTCACAAACTCTTGTTCTGATAGTACACACATTGATGTGCAAAATAGTCTAGTAAAGTCTCTTTTTTTGTAGAACCTTTGCAAAGTAACATGGGTTCCGATGTCAAGATCTGCTTTCGAAATGAACAGGCTATCGTTGAGAATAACGGGATCTCCCGCCATCACTAGTTCCTTGTAATCCCTTGACTTTTTTAAGAAGGCTGTCTAGAGAGGAGTCAGTGTAGTACCTTTCCTCGTTGGAATCAAATTTCCTTTTTCCCCCAGCAGATATTCTCTCACATGTATGAGTACAGTGTTGGAAAAATACGTGACTGCCACATAGTTCAATCCACTATGATGGTAATGGTGATTTGGTAAAGTGAAGGCTTCCGCGGCAGTTGTTGATGCAGGAGCTGGGGTACTGGCACTTTCTAACATCGTATCGAAAGAACGTTTCATCTCAGACTAAAAGGAAATAGTGTCGGCTCTAAAAAGAACTTTTTGGAAATAATATTGACTTCTGAACTGGTAGAGCTTTTCAAGCGCTCTTCGTCCAATCAGAGCTTAACACACATGCGATTAAAACGAGTTATCCCTATCGAAAATTCATTTTATAGTCTGATGATACGTTTACTTAATATTTTTAACCTTATGTTGATGTCACCGCTAATTTATCATTATTCTCAGAAACTTTCTTAATCACAAGAATTTTAACAGAAATGTCAATGCATGCTTGCCAATTTTAACGGATTATCCGTAAAATGTACGGATTTACGCCTAATTTTACGGGCCTACGGATTAACCTGAAATTTATACGGATCCCCCGTTTTTAACGTTGCGCGATTAGTGCATCGGCAAAATTCCGCGATTATCAGCTGCTACGGAGCTAGAGTAAAACTATTTGTAAAGGGGGAAAACAGAAAAAATGACACGAGTTTTCCGATATATTCCAAAGCAACACGGTAACCACACACCCCTTATAAGTGGCTTATCCTCGTAGCCATAGTAACGGCACGTTCACGTGTAAACCAGTTGATTGGTTATTCTCCTTTTCTCCCTCGTAACTGCTTCCAGTCTCCTCTAGTGAATGCGCTGTTCCCGTCATTATTGCCACTCCCCGTTTCAACTACGCCACTGAACTAGCCGATCCAAACGTCGTTCTCCCTCCCTCTGTAACGAACGAAAACGGTACTGAACTGTCGACTACTACTTAGCTTGTAATCACGCGGTGTGCGTTAAAAATGAAACCGAAGAAAACTTATACTGCAGAGTTTCCATGCATAAAAAAATCAAACAAAGGAGAAAAGTATGCTTATTGTACGATTTGTTTTTCTGACTTTCTAATATCGCATGGAGGTAGAAATGATATACATCGCCACGTAACCGGACCGAATCATGCCAAGAACATTGAAAACGCTGAAAATAACCAAAGACTAAGCAAATTTTTTAAGCCTCCTGATAATGTCCAAGATGAAGTAATGCGTGCTGAGTTATTGTTTACCTCTTTTTTAGTTGAGCATAATGTTCTGCTAAATGCCGCCAGCCATGTGGGTCCGCTTTTTCGAAAGATGTTTCCGAAAAGTGAAATTGCGAAACGTTACGGATGTGCTAAAACCAAAACTGCATCCCTTGTCCATGAAATGGCTATGGATCGAACTTCAGAAATTATTAAATATTTGCAAGAACAAGCATTTACTGCAGCATGTGATGGTAGTCACGAAGCTGATTATAAGTTGTACCCAGTTGTGGTGAGTTATTTTAACGTGGATCTTCAACGCATTGAAAGTACTTTATTGGCAATCCCAAATTTGGAAGGAAACTCCACAGGTGAAAATATAAGCTCCCTTCTTTTAAATGTGTTTGCTAAATATGACATTCCTTTTAGAAATTGTATAGCATTCAGTGCAGATAATGCTTCCGTTATGCAGGGAAAGAAAAATGGTGTTATTTCATTTTTAGAAAAAGAAAATGAGCACATAATATCAATTGGATGCTGCTGCCATTTAATACATCTTGCCTCTGAAAAAGCTGCTGCAACTTTTCCCGTTAGGATAGATGAAGTTTTGGTAGATATTTTTTACCACTTAAAAAGGAGCGTTAATCGTAAGGACTCTCTTAAGAAATTTCAGGAAATGTATGGTAAAGAAGCACAAAAAGTGCTTAA